CCCCCCCCCCCGTGGGCTGAGAAGCTTCGCTGAGAAATTTTAGCCCAGGGTGTAATTAGCCCGGGAGAATTATCAGCAACGGAAAATAAAACCTGGTACCATAAAACGTCTCAATTAGGGCGACGGTGTCAGTTAGTCACACCTACTGTCCGCGTATTTATCCCATCATCTCCAGGGCTTCGTGAACCTGACCTGGACCTGCCCCTCCCGGGTGTTGCGCAATCGCGGGCAGCCGAGCCGCCTCGCTCCGCCCTCGTTTCTGCCCGCGTGTCCTAGCCCTGAAAACACATTAAAGTAATCAAGTTGGGCAGCAAGGCGTCCTCGGCGGCCCCCTCCCCCACGTGTTCCCCCGACCCCCTCATGTGCAGCGGACCAAGACAGGGAAGTGTGTTCAGAGCCATTAAAGATGAGGCGACATCGCGTTTGTAAAGCGTATTGGCAGCCCGGCGCCTGGCGCATTCCGGAGGCCGGACTCACTCTGGAAAGTGCCGGACAGTCCCCAGCCCGCTAGCGCCGCTGGCACGCGACGGTGCTGCTTTGGGGCCACATGGGGGTGGTGCGGAGGGCAGTCGTGACATTCATCCCTGCCTTCCGAGCTCTGGGCGCGGCGCCCTGCGCCATCCTCCCGCCACCTGTCTCCGGTCGTCCCTCCTCCAGAAGGGAGCCTGTTCCCCGGTGTCCGTGTCCGCAGAGCTGGGGGGCGAGGCAGGTTTTACTGTGAGGGGACGTATGGCTCCTAACCCCCACCCCAGAGATGGCAGACCCGCGCGGGCTCCGCGGGATTTGGCCGCATTTGGAAGGAGTTATGACAGGGGTCCCGAGGCTGCAGAGACGAGGGGGAAGGAGAACGGAAACACTTGCCCCACTCCGCAGAACTTAACCTTAGACTTGACTGTGCTTAGTGTAACCACTATAAAAATAAGAGGTTTGGAAGCAGCGAGCAAGTCAGGACTGGCCGAAGTATGCGGCTTTCCGTCCCTGCGCTTTCTGAGCCCCGCCCCCCTCTTGGCTAGATTCTGCCCCCCTCTTGGCTCGATTCTGTCCCAACCTGCCGAGGTTAAGAAAGAACCGGGACTTAGAGGGGTCCTTGCAGCCAGGCACCCGGAGTTTTATGTAACTCAGCTCTGCTCTTCAGGCTCCAGAAGGGAGAGAGGAGGAGCCTGGGCAGCTTTCGGAATGGCCGGGAGGGGGTGGATCCTGGGGCAGGGAATGGCTTCTGGTGGCCAAGCAGGATGCTGTTTCGGGGCCCATCTGCAAGGGAGTTGTACTGCCCACTCGGTGGGGTGGAGGGTCCTGCCTGTCCACCTCTCCTCTCCAACCCTCCAGCTCCCAGAAGCTTCAGACTCCAGCTGGGGGAATCCTTAGGCCTTTTCCCCTGCTGGGTCGACAGGCCAGCACCTGCCCCTGGGGAAGGGAGGGTTGGAGGGCTGGAGAGGTAGGCTGTGCTGCGAGGGCCTGGAGCTTCCGGGACTCTGAACCCAGCCCTCTAAGTCTGTGGGTGCCTCTTTACGTGCATGAAGTCCACCTTCATGGGTCTTCCGCCACCAGCATGGTGTCACCTTGGAAGAGCTTGTTAAAAATTCGTATTCTTGGGCCCCAGGCAAAACTTACTGAACCCAACTCTCTATGATGTTTTAATTCATTGTTTTACTTTTTTATTTTATTTATTTATTTATTTATTTATTTATAAGTGAGTCATGCAGTAAAGTAACCCAAACGTAAGACCTGCCACTTGAATATAACTGCATAGCCACCATGGAGATTAAGATCTAGAACATTTCTGCTACCAAGAAGCCTCCTTCCCATTCTTCCCAGATAATACCCGACTTTCTAGAGACCACTGTTCTTCGGACTTTCATGAACCAGAGGAGTTTGCCTGTGTCTGAACTCCTATGAGTCTGTTTTTTTTCTCTTAACAACCACCTGTTGGGGATTCATCCACATTGTTGCCTATAGTAATAGCTAATTTTTTTCCCATTGTGGTGTAGTGCCCTATTGTATGAATGGACTACAACGTATGTCCTTGTTCTATGCCTGATGATATCTGGGCTGTTTCCTGGTCTTGACTATTGTACCAGAGCTATTAAGAACATTCCTATGAGTGTCTCTAGTGTTCCTCAGCATTTCCTTTTGTCAGGCATGGAATTGCCATGTTGTAGGGCTTTTTTTTTATTTTTATTTTTTAAGTTTAATTTTATTATGGTAGCCATCATTAGTTTTTGATGCAGTGTTCCATGATTCATGGTTTGTGTATGACACCCAGTGCTCCATGCAATTCCTGCCCTCCTTAATACCTACCACCCAGCTCACCCATCCCCCTCCCCCTTCTCCTCTAAAACCCTCATTTTGTTTCTTGGAGTCCATAGTCTCTCATGGTTCTTCTCCCCCTCCCATTTCCCTCCCATTTTCCTCTTCCTTCTCCTTGTGTCTTCCATGCTATTCCTTATGTTCCAGAGATAAATGAAACCATATGATAATTGACTTTCTCTGCTTGATTTATTTCACAGCCTAATCTCGCCATAGAGTTTATGTTTAACTTTGGTAGATGACTGCTAAACAGTTCTCCAGAGTACTTGTGCCGTTTGCCCTCTGACCAGCAGCGAATGGCAGTTCAGTTGTTCTGCATTCTTGTCAACACTTGGTACTGTCAGACCTTTTCACTGTAGCCGTTCTGGGAGGTATGCCGTGGGATCTCTCTGTGGCTTTAATTTGCACTGCCCTCCTGCCTACAGATGTTAGGAACATTTTCATGAGCTTGTTGGCCATTTGGATGTGTCTTTTGTAAAAAGTCTGATCTTTTGAAAACTGGGAGTCTCTTGCGCTCTTAATTTCTAGGACATCTTATTTTTTTTTTTAATTTTCTTTTTTTGTTTGTTCCTGGTGGGCTTTGTATTAACATATAATGTATTATTTGTTTCAGGGGTACAGGTCTGTGAATCATCAGTCCTACACAGTTCGCAGCACTCACCATAGCACGTTAGGACATCTTATTATTAACGGCCCCTCCAGGGATGCCTGGGTGGCTCAGTCATTAAACATCTGCCTTTGGCTCTGGTCATGGTCCTGGGGTCCTCAGATCGAGCCCTGCCTCTGGCTCTCTGCTTGGCGGGAAGCCTGCTTCTCCCTCTCGCACTCCCCTGCTTGTGTTCCCTCTCTTGCTGTGTCTTTCTCTGTCAAATAAATAAATAAAATCTGGAAAAAAAAGAAAAGAAAGAAAGAAAAAGAAAAAAGAAGACAAAAACCAGTCCCTTCAGGTGACTTAAGGAACCATCTCTCTGAAGGTCCTGTTTTCTTGACATCAGTTTTGGTCTTTCTTCAGTTCCCAACCCAGCAGCTCGCTTCCTGTCTCGACTTGCGAGGCAGGTTACAGATGCGGTGCTGTCCTGTCCCGCTTCTCTTAACCATAGGCGGTAGGGTTAACTGTGGCTGTGTTTCTGTCCCTGAGGTCTGGCTGGGTGTGGGGCTTGCCGTCTGGAGATGTGAAGAGCATGTCCAAGGCCCCTTCTTGCCTTTCCAGCCGCATCTTACTGTGCCACAAGCTTGTCAGAGACCTGAGGCTTGGGGGAAAGATGGCAGGAGGAAGAAGCGTCTGGGAACTTCCTTTATTGCCTTTGATCCTACTGCTTCATTTCCAAGGGCATGTGGAGCCCCCCCCCCACCTCTCTTCCCCATCACCTGCCTTTGAGAAGGATGTGTGTTTAGTATGTGTGTGTCTACATTTAGGGGAGGTGTGTGTGGATGTGACCTGCTTTGGGTCACCAGGGAGGAGTCACTCCCCTCTCAACACCAGCTGTGTAATAATCCCCCTTCTCAGTAGAAATGCTCCCCATCTCTCAGCCGCCCCATGAGTCAGATGAGGGGATATCCAAGTGTGATAGTGTACGGGGATCTAGAACGCGTACAACGCACCCCTCTCATTCTGGAGACGGGCACCACAGAGACCATGAGGGCTCGTGTCTCGGTGGGAGAACCTGCTGGTGGGTTTCTAAGCCTGCTCCTCCTGGAAAGAGGGGTGCTGCTTCTGGAGACTATCGTGAGACAGAGGAGGGAAAGAGCATGTCTTTTTTGTGGGCCTTTGGTAACAAAGGGAGTTCCCAGGGGCTGCTCTCTCCCTGAGTGCAGGCTGGGCAGAGGCCCAGCGTGGCAGGAAGTGGTGAGTGGTGGGAAAGAAGGAGGAAATGCTCGGTGCAGCCCGTCCCTGTGTTTCCCCCACCCTCACCCTGGCGGGGCTCAGCGGCTCTGTGAAATGGCCCCGGAAGGGTATTTACAGTGTTATGACCATTAACACAAATGTGTAATGGTTTTGTGCCTGCATATTGCGGAATCTGGCACTTGTCACTGTGAAACCGGCTCTGATGAAGATTCCTTTTTCCACTTAGGCTGGTTACGATGGTGAGAGTATTGGGAATTGCCCGTTCTCCCAGCGCCTCTTTATGATTCTTTGGCTAAAGGGCGTTATATTTAATGTGACAACAGTGGACCTGAAGAGGTAAGATGGGCCTTCCGCATTACTGGAAGAACTGTACTTTACTCCTGGCAAACCCATTTACACCCACACCCGTTCTCACCTGCACTCGCATGGGGGGCCACACTCACATAACACACTCACACACCACGCACTCACACATTCAAAACTCAGGCACACTCACACATGCACACACTCACACTCACGCACTCCTAGGACCCAAGGGCAATATCGTGGCCCATCCATCCTCGGTTAGGATCCTGAATGGAAGCCCGAGTCTGGGCTTCTCACGCAACGACAGGACTGGATCCAACGTGATCCGGGAGGAGTTGGGGGCACCATAAGGAACTCGCTCCTCTAGCTACTGGTCTGCCAAGAACCTCTCAAAAGCCTGTGTGAGCAGCTCTCCTGCGATGACAATGGGGCGATTTTGCTTTCTCACCTCTGCCTCCAGAGAAGCGTCACACTTTTGTTGTCAGTAGGACATTTTGGAGACCCACGATCACTGTTGACATTCTTAAGGGTTGCCCCCCATAAACTGGGGAGGATCTGGCTGAGCTTTGGAAATGAGTCTGCAGGTTGGCAACTGTTTATACAAAAGCTGGTGCTTACCGCACCCCTCCTCCCCCCACCCCAGGAAACCCGCAGACCTGCAAAACCTGGCTCCTGGAACAAACCCTCCCTTTATGACTTTTGATGGTGAAGTCAAGACGGACGTGAATAAGATCGAGGAGTTCTTAGAGGAGAAACTAGCTCCCCCGAGGTAGGCCTCGAAAACCAGCATTCACAACCCGATTGTCACATTCCCCCCCCTTCACAGACAATTTGTAAGCTCCTGGCTTCTGTGTATTTGGTTTTCTGTGGCCACGGTACTTCATTTCCTTTGCTGTACCGCGGTGTGCCACAGAAAACACAGAGCGAGATCAGAAGCCTTGAATGACGGTAGGCCTGGGTCTCTCTGCTCTGCACCTGCAGGTTGGCAATCATGGTTTAATGGCAGGAAGTGGGGGAGGAGGTGGGTTGATGTTGCATGGGTCGGCCATTTCTTAGGTCCACTGCTGGAAGGTAAGGCGTGCAGGGTAGCATGCAATGTTGCAGAGTGCTGGACCCAGAAGAGAACCTTCTAGTGTCCCACCTTCATCTTACTTGGAAGGGAGCTAAGACCAGCAGGGTCCAAGGTGTGCCAGGACGAGAACAGCAAGTGCTTTCTCCCTAGACTATTGCTTCCAAGACTTGGAGATAAAAAGATTAGGAGAACATTCCAGAGGGAAGTGTTCTCATTTATATCCACTCAGAGAAAGACTTGTCTGCCTCCCCCCATCCCCCCAACCACTTGCATGAACCCAAATCAAACATTGCTTATCTGTGATGCTCCAATTCTGAATTTTTCAAGGTACCCTAAGCTGGGGACCCAACACCCTGAATCTAACTCTGCAGGGAATGATGTGTTTGCCAAATTCTCCGCATTTATAAAAAACACCAAGAAGGATGCGAACGAGAGTGAGTACCTGCTGTCTTCCTGTTCAGTGTTCTCCATGTGGACAACCCCTTGCTCAGCCTCTGGTGTGGCTGCTTCTAAGATCCTGGGACTTCTGACTAATGTCCCTGGGGGTAGGGACCTGTATCTGGAAAGGAGGAACAATGCCTCTAATACTGAATCGGCACGTTGGTTTCAGGAGCTTGAGGTTGGGAGCCCAGAAAAAAACATTTTGAGGGGAAAAGAATGCCCACCAGGAATTCCCTGCTGCACCATGGGAATCAGTTTCAAGGATGCTCCTGCCGGTGCTTATTTCATTATGGGCTTCCCATAAATATTTCTGAATAAGTGGATGAGTCCAAGAAGGAACATTGTTGTGTAGACAGCAGAACTATTTTCCAGGGAGGAGTGAGTCCTTTATGCAGATCTTAGAAATCCACATCCCTCCCTTCAGTTCCCTGTGCTGCCCGGCCATGTGTCAAGAGGGAAGGGTGATTGACTCCTTCCTTGATATCTAGAGAAAGGTGACAATAATTTTTACATTTTTTTTGCCTTTATGTTCTAGTTTATGAGAAGAACCTGCTGAAGGCCCTGAAGAAGCTGGATAATTACTTAAATAGCCCTCTGCCGGATGAAATCGATGCCTACAGTACTGAGGACATCGCTGTTTCTGGAAGGAAGTTCCTGGATGGGGACGAGCTCACACTAGCTGACTGTAACCTCTTACCCAAGCTCCACATTATAAAGGTTTGATGTTCCTCCAATCACAGGTGCTGAATACACGAATAGAGATTTGTTTTGGTTTGGCCAGACATCAAAACAATCTAAAATGCAGACTCTTGAGTTAAAAAGTCAGGTATTTTGTTTGTTTATTTGTTTATTTGCTTTTTTTCTGTTTGAGGTGGTTGACTCCTAAGTCTCAGATACAAGTATATTCCCAGGTGTTTTTCAGGTGGTCTCAAGAAACATTTGGGAGCTTGGCTCCCACTCCTCCCTCCTCACCGCTTCTTGTTCCAAGTCTTACCCCCAGAGCCTAAAGAAAAGTTATATGAAGACAGCTTGAGGGCAACATTGACTATACCTGGCATTTAATGCTTGAGCCTTGGAGACGATGTGCCGAATCTGGGAACACTGCAGTGTGTGTGAACTTAGTCACTTGTTGGTGATTAGCTGGGGAAATGGCTCTGCATAGGGATGACAGAGGTGTGTCTTCTCAGCTCTTAATATCTACCCCCTACAGCTAGGGAGCCCCTCCTTGGCTGGGCCTCTGCCTGATTTGGCATTGTGTCTTCCCAGATAGTTGAACAGGAAGTCAGCTTCATGTGTCATTTATTTTAGGGTTTAAAGGCTCCCTAGACCAGTGGTTCTCCAGCATTAGTAGGTATAAGAATTATTTGGGGAGCTTTTTAGAATTGTAAATCCTGCCATCCAGCCTCTGGTCTCCTCAGTCAGAACTTCTGGGGGTGATCCTGGGGGATTCCAAAGTAGATGGCCCAACACGTGGCCTCTGGAGTTATGGCTGCCTTTCAGTGGTATCCCTAGCCTTCAGGTCACTTACAGGTGTTAACTGCTATCATCATCACAACTGCAACATTGTTGGCCCTCAGGAGCCTCAGAAGCCCCAGGAAGAAGCCCAAACCTTGTTCTGGGGCACCTTGATGATTAAAATCCCACCCAGTCCAAACCCAGGTCCTTGGTAGAAGGACAGGGAGATGAGTGAGAAGACACAGGGAGTTAAGTTGAGGACCCTGTGATCTAATAAGGCATGTCATTGACTTTTAGAAATTTACAAATTAGGCTCATCTGTCTGTGTTGCTGAGACTTCCGCAGGCTACCAGCAGCCCCTGCTGCTCTTCATCATTGCCTTGCCTTTCGCTTCAGCATTTCGTCTTCCTTCCTGATTCTGTTCCTAACCCTTGCCCCGTTTCTCTTCTGTCTTCCCGGGTGTGCTTGAAGGATACTAACTTGAAATTCAAGCCTTGAATATGTGTCTGAGCCCTTAAGTGAATATTGTTTTCAATAACTTTGCCAGTTCCCCAACACCTAAAATGTAGTATAAGCATCTCAACTCATCAAAACCTAGGTTTGGGAGCCATTTTCCAACAAGCTATTTAAGTGGTTGTGTGTGGTTTAGTCCTCACAGTGGTTGTTTTTGTATCATTGCTTCGACCAGTGTAACATCGCAGAGGTACGTGGAGGTTGGGGAAGAGCAAGAGAAATGCCCCAGCCATGTACCATCGATTGCCACTTGTTTCGCTCCTATAGGAAAAGAGTATTTTAAATTTCAGTAGATGGGGTAAACTTCAGAGTAAAATAAAGAAGTTCCTCGCTCCAGTGTAAGACCATAGAGCAAATTCTTCAAAGCCATTGAGCATTCAAAATACCAAACAGCTTCATAATCTTTCAGGATGGAGCAACTTCGGAAGGGAAATGAGACTGGGTATAAAGGAATTTATGGTAAAAGATGAGAGAGTAAAGGAATTTATAATCTATTCTTTTTCCTGAAATCCAGCAAAAATAACATGAAAAAAACAGAGTAAAGCTTCATCTGTCATAAAACCAGAAAAGGACAGAACGCTAATTCAAAGACTAAGAAGCTTTGTCCAGTGTGAGGTGTCACAGAGCCAGTGCAGGCTTCCCTGTATCTTTAGCAAAGTTCAGATTTCTCCAAAAGTAAATAGTACAGTCCTGAAATGCCCAACCCAAACTTCTTTGGGGACTAGGGCCATGAGAGGAGAATAAGGGAACAGCCCCACACAGATTACTTCTGGGCTGAGGTCTCTGGGGAGGGAGAGCTGAAGCAGAAAGCATGCAGAGGTGCTATCTTTGTATTCTGCCACTGGTCCCCTAATCTGAAGGAACGGGGAGGGGAGGTGGAAAGAAGGGATGTGGCATTCTGCTTTGTAGCTGCTGTGTAGAGAACAGAAATAATCCTTGAACTAGTCAAGAGAGAGACTGTAAGTTGCTTGGGCTTCATTTTTAGCCATGGTGACCTCCTGCCTAATCTTTGAGTCTCAGAGTGGAGGATGCTCTAACCTTAATCTTGATTCTGACCCTGACTCTGACCCTACTCCTAATGTGTCTGTGGGGTGGAGTATAGGGCATGTTTGGTGAGAGAGTTTATGAGGGTAGACATCCAAATTGGTCTCCCAGCTGCTGTGAATCACTGCCTTTGCCCTCCATACTGCTTATTTTAAAAAGTGTTAAGTCCAATAGATCTGCCTCATTAAAAGATGATTAATAACCAGTAAGACCCTAAGTAGGACTTCTGTGAGGATAGAGATAATCAAGAAGGACCGGGGAAAAAGGAGAAAGAGAAGGATCTGAAAAGGAAAGGGCAGATGAGAAACACCTATCTGATGAGGAATTGCTCCAGTAAATGAAAATACATTCTAGTCAGATTCTTCTCTGTGACCTTCAAGACATGAAAGAGAACATGGATCTTTTGAGAAAAAGCTCAAAGACGAACAAGATATCAGAAAACTATAACATCACAAGGAAGAGGAAAATCAGGTTGGTGGAACTCAAGACAAAAACTTAAAGACAAGTTTAATAATTTCAAAAATAAAAGTTACATTACACATAGCAAGACATAGAAAAAGACATTGCAGAAATTCATCAGGGACCTGGAGGACAGGCCTGAGACATCATCCAAAATCGAGTGGAGAAGCAGCAAGGGATAAAAGTGATTAGAGATTTCCTGGATGTATGTAGTTAAGAACGCAGAGAATAGGAGAAAAAAAAGAAAGGAAGAGAAGGAGGGAAAATTATTTTGAACTAAAGGATGATCTGAACCTTCAGTATAAACAACATGCCATGACTGGAAAAGTAAAATCCAGAACAATCAACACACTATGATATACGTGATAAATGGTAAATTACTGAACTTTGAGGATCAAAAGAACACTTTGGGTGTCTGGAAAATAAGAGAATTAATAATAATAATAATAATAATAATAGAACAGTAAAGCCACCTACAGAGGGAAGAAATTCAGACTGGTCTCATGCATCTCCATGACCACATTAAAACCCAGAAAACAGGGGCATCTGGTGGCTCAGTCAGTTGAGCGTACTCTTGATCTTGGCTCAGGTGACAATCTCATGGGTGGTGGGATCGTGCCCTGCTTCGGGCTCCATGCTCAGTGGGGAGTCTGCTGGAGATTCTCTCTCTCCCTGTTCCTCCTCCCTCCCTGCACATGCTCTCTCTAAAATAAATAAGTAAATCTTTTAAAAAACCCAGAAAATGGTGGTTTAATAGTTACAGAGAATCAAAGGAAAGATTGTATGATGTAAGAATTCATATCCAGGTAAATTGTCGTTTTTACCTGGATTTCTAATCTTAATAAAATAAGCGCTCCTGAGCCATTTTTTTAAAATAAAACTTTTCTGTGATGAAATAATAAAATGTTCATCAAAATAAGAATCCAGGAATAGAGGCAGTGTGTGGCATAAAAGGCTAGTGATAAACATAGAACCTATTTAAATCTAAAGACAGAACTAAAGACTAAACAATTTTGGGAATTATAGTTAAAGAACAGAATCAGAACGTGGTAAACTTGGATGTTTTTTTACAACCAATGGAAGGGGGATAAGGGAGAAGAAATGGAAAAAAAGTGCAGAGTTGTACTAATTTCCTTATCTGTCATAATCAGGAGTCAATAGATATCATCTAAACTTGACAGATCAAGAAATAGAGAATCTCTATTATTTAAGGTTATACTGAAAACCATGAGAAAAGTTAAAATAGACCATAAGCTTCCAAGTGACCAGAAAGAAACACACAAACACACATACATTAATATACACAGAAAGACAGAAAACAATATAAATATTAAATTCAGAATAGGTACCATAAAAAGAAGATTATATCTATAGGAGGCATACACTTAATAAATTTGCTCAAAAATGTTAAAATTAAAAAAAATTTAAAATTAAAAAAAAATTAAAATTTGTTTTGCAAAACAAAAGGAAAGCAGAATCTTAACATTGATAGCAATAAGGTTGAATTCAGGTAAAAGATGTTAAACAATTTAGGAGGATTTCTGACAGTTATATATTGTCTTATTTTGCTGCATCAATGACTTCTGGCCTGCAAGATCTGAGTGATAGGTCCCAAAGATCTTCTAATTTGTGTTGTCCCATGTTCACTTCAACCAGACAACCCAGAAACCAATGCAATAAGAGGCAACAGAGCAGAACTGAACTTTGTAGCCCTGGGTCCCTGTTAGGGGATGAATTGCATCTCCTCAAATTCATATGTTAAAGTCCAAATCCCAGGAACCTGGTAGAATGCCCAACAGAATATACTCTCCTTTCTGACAAATTCCCCAACAACGCCCCTCCGGCCAGAGGAAACATCTCACACTGTAATGTTTCTCATGATGTTCACTCTCAGTTGCCCTGTCCTCACAGCCACCATTTCCATGAGGATAAGATTTGTGTCCTTTTGTTGAACCTGAGATGATCTCTTCAGTGATAGGACGATGGAAATCTGTAGGAATAACATACACAGATATCTGGGATTTCAGGAGGGAAGGCTCAACAAGCAGAAAAAGAGAGCACTTCACAGTAAATCTGGCACATTCTGAACTGAAGAGCCTCATGAATCTTTAGGCACCAAATGACATAACAGCAGAACTCACAAAGCCCAAACTGTTGGCAAGACAAGGAGATCTCCAACAAAGTAGAGACTAAATTCATGCCAGCGGATCCCAAGGACTATCTGGGATAAACTGGTGAGCGGGATAGTGTGTGTAGGAGCCACTCTTTTTTTTTTTTAAGAGAAACAGTGAGAGAGGGAACACAAGCAGGGGGAGCAGGAGAGAGAGAAACAGGCTCCCCACTGAGCAGGGAGCCCAATGCAGGACTCCATCCCAGGACCCTAGGATCATGACCTGAGCTGAAGGCAGACTTATGACTTAAGAGCCACCCAGGCGCCCCTGGAGCCACTCTTTTGAGCCCAGTGCTTTCATGGACTTTCCTGTTGCAAAGTTAAAGTGCAATTTGGGTGTAGCCTGGCTGGCTGTAGGAAGTATACATCAGGACTCCAGAAAGAGAATATATTACACATCGCAAAAGAGTGGATTGTCTGATCTAATTGTCTACATTAATGGGCTTTTCCTTTGCTGATTGTTTCCTCTTGATTTTCAGATTGTGGCCAAGAGATACAGAGATTTTGAATTTCCTTCTGAAATGACTGGCATCTGGAGATACTTGAACAATGCTTATGCTAGGGATGAGTTCACGAATACGTGTCCAGCTGACCAGGAGATTGAACATGCATATTCAGATGTTGCAAAAAGAATGAAGTGAAGCCAGAGTGTTTTCCGTCTTATTTTCAGCTGTTTGAGCTAGGCTGTGATACGAGTGTGTTCTTTGTGAGTGTACCATTTGTATTCCTTCCAATAACCGTGATGCCCGTATTTTAATAATACTGTATCATAGCGAAATGGTACATGGCCTTGTGATTTATCAACTCACTTGTGTATCTGAATAATACCAGTACATATTGTGACACACACCCCTTGTCCAGTTGACTTCTTAATTTACTTCTTTGGCATTCTCGGACCCTGTAAACCATTATATTAGGGCATGTGTTTTGCAGTTTAAGTTTCAGAGCAAATTAGATTTGGGTTCAATTCCTCCTCCAATTTAAAAAAAAATTCATCTGTCTCTGATAGTTTTCCTAATCGTCATATGCAGCTTATTTTTCTCCTCTAAAGTAGTAGGGTTTTTTTTGTTTTTTGTTTTTTTTTGTTTTTTTTGGAACAAAAATACTGTTTTTGTAGTCACAAGATGATTACATGCCTATTTTAATATTTTAAAACAATGTCAGAGAATATAAGGAAGGGGAAAAAAGAAACCACCTAAAATTTCACCCCACCTAAATAATTGCTGATAACTTATCGGTGAACATCTTCCCCTCCCTTAGCTCTTGCAGATGTTCGCTGCACACAACTCCATTCCTGTGAAGTTGGTGAGGGGACCCGTGGGTGATGCCTTTGGTGATCATCCACAGAGGATCCAAAAAGATTTGACCCTGCAGAGCTAGAGGATGCTTGCGATCAGGTTTCACAGGTGGAGAGTTGGCGTCCACAGACCCGCAGGGACCTGCGGGGACCACGGGGGCTGGGAGCTATGGGAGATCCCTTCTCTGCCTTGACACAACTTTGGTGATGCCAGCTGCCTCTTGTCCCAGAACAGGCAGTGGAGGAGAGCGCCCATGGTTGTTTGTTCCAACTTCTTTTTGGATGCCTTCTCTTGCTCTGCCCCCTCTCATGAGGCCATGCTTTCATGGGGACCACTCAGCACCAGCTGCCCATTGGAGGACTCTCCTGCCCTGTGGTGAAATATGAAGCAAACACACTTCAATTCTTTCTAAGGGCTGCCCTCAGACCCAGAGCTGGACTTCTTCGGTGGTGATGGGCTGTGGGGCTAGCCTGGTTCTCATTGCTTCTCCAGCCTTTACAGTGTCATTTCAAGGTTAGGCAGGGAAATTCCAGAGAGACTGAATTCGTGATGACTACTCTTGTGCAGTTCTGGTACCCAGTCAGGTTGGGGAGGAAGTGGAAACTCTAGGCTGGAGAGTTTTCTGGTTTGTCTGTGACTTGCCTGTCACCTTGCCCCTGCAGCCAGCCTCTCTCTGTAGTGTGTCTGGGCTAGGCTGCCCGGCTCCAGCTGAAAGCACGGAGACAATGTGGAAGGCTGTGTAGATATGCATCACAACCGGGTTGTGGGTTTGAGCATTCTCGAGCATTCTTGGGGTTACGCTCCTTTGACATTTACATACATCTTATAGAAACCCTCTTGTCCATTTGGTGGTAGCCTGTGGTTGATGCTAAATGCTCATTAAAAAAATATGCATTTGCTCTATGGGTATTTATTTGGAAAAGAATTTATTGGATTTATTTGGAAAAGAGTAAGATGCGGGGCACCTGGGTGGCTCAATGGGTTGAGCATCCAACTCCTGATTTCCGCTCTAGTCCTGATCTCAGGGGAGATGGAGCCCTGCATCAGGCTCGAGTCTGCTTGAAGATTTTTTTTTTTTTATTTGACAGACAGATCACAAGTAGGCAGAGAGGCAGGCAGAGAGAGAGAGGAGGAGGAGGCAGGCTCCCGCTGAGCAGAGAGCCCGATGCGGGACTCGATCCCAGGACCCTGAGATCATGACCTTCGGCCATGAGCCGAAGGCAGAGGCTTTAACCACTGAGCCACCCAGGTGCCCCTCAAGTCTGCTTGAAATTCTCTCTCCTTCTCCCTTTGCCCCTCATACCTGTGCTCTTTCTCTAAAATGAGTTAAGCAAATCTTTAAAAAAAAAAAAAAAAAAGGAATAAAATGCATTAACAACTCTTCTGGGATTTAGTGACAAATGTCTAGTATGAGAACCAAAGTCCATAATATGGTGGCTACTTTGTATTCCTTCTTACTAGAGGCTCCAGTTTCATGCAGGGGCTGCCCACCCAGCATCAGCTTTCTTTGTTAATCCTTTCTGTTTTTGGCAGTCATGTCTAGCATTCCCCATCATGCATGTTTCATATCTCTTTTGGGGTCAGATTTTCAAGTCTAGTGTTATATAATGGTACATCTACATGTTGCCAATGAACAGAATACCACTTGTGACTAGTGCAAACTTTGTATTTTTAGATGGTGATATGATCTACATAAACTCTTTGTGCCTTAAAAATTAAATGCATAAAAATGTTTACACGAAACCAAGATCTTTAATCTTTTTTTTTCCCCACTTTACCTTCCTCACTCACACTTAAAGGAATAAAATGAACAGAAATGGCTTCCTTTAAAATAATGAGAATAATGTCTAAGCAGAGATTATTGGTAATTGAATTAGAAATAATCTGTATTTGAATTGTGAGCCACTGAGACATTTTAACAGAGACTTGAAGAGATCAGAAAAGACCTATCCTTGTGTGACCTGTTCTTGTCCGGGTGGCTACAGTAGAGGTCCTCAGACTGTTCCAGTTTTCAGTGTGGTTATAGGAAAATGGGTGGTCCCTAGCCATTCCCCCCACCCACTCCGGGGTCCCATCCCCACATCCAGTTCACCTGCCGCTAAAAGGCTATATTCCTTTGGGGAAGGCAAGAAATATTCCAGAACTGTTCTCTGGCTTCAAGTCTTTATTACAGTGTGGGTCTTGAAACAAAATGTGTTTGGTCTTGAAACATACTGTATGTTTCATTCAAAACATTCTTGCAAATATGGACATTCAGTGAATGAATCCCCACCTGGAGGCTGACTGAGAAGTTCTCTTGCCCAAGAGGCCCTACAATTAGGAAAAAAAAAATCAGCTTTTCTTCTGAGCACAGAATTTCCACGTGTAAGCTGGAAAGGATATGGGAGCGTCGCAAAGTTATACTGCCTGGCTACTGCCCAGGGATTGGGGATGGAATGAGGGAATTCAGTCCAGGAAAGGAATTCTAGAGACCAGAGGTCTCAAGAGGTAATTTCTGATCCATAGGTCCGTCCCCAGGCATTGAATGTATGCCCAAGTCTCCCCCAGACAGAAAGATAGACACACACACACTCAGGGACATACACACAGACACACAGTCACACCCCCCCACACACAAACATGTTCACATATAACGGGGTCACAAGCGTGCTCTCACACACACATATGCACAAACACACAGACACACATATAACACAATATCCTCACACGTAGGCACACACTCACATATACACACATGTGCACACACATCCTCCTACAAACATATTGTGGGCGAGGTCAGCACTGTTCCCTTTCCTGTGTCATCTAGTCAATGACCATAATACCTCTTAGCACCTATGACTCAGTCCCCACCTCCAGTGGTTCATAATTAGAAGACATCAAAGAATGTCTTTTGAAAAAAGAAAACTCCAACATTTATTTTACAATTAAGAGAACAAAGGGTGCATCATCCCAAGAACGTATAATTCACAGAACCCTGGATACATACAATGGATACCTTGGGGTACATTTTTTTTTGCATTCCAAAATAATTTCTCTTTCCACACGGAGCTTTAATTCTGAATTTTTCAAAATGGTCAGTTTCCCTTCTGACACCTGCATTTTAGTCTAATGTCTTAGCACACTTCAGGGCACGACCACTTGAGAAGACCAGATGTACGTGTGTGGTCCCCTGCTCCCAGAGGGACTGTCATTCACCGCGACTTGCGATGGCATTTGCGGGTCAGAGGGACCCGGTTGCTGCCTGCCTGTGTGCTCAGTGACTCAGTGGAGCAGCTGCTTACCCTTGTAGCCTGTGCTCGGACAATGTCATTGTCCCCATTACGGAGGGTTTGTGCCAAGTCTCTGATGACCCTCGTCCTGGAGAAGGCAGTTGAGTCAGGGAGCGAGCCCAGAGCTGCCGTTTTGGGGTCCCCGTCACCATCCACGGGAAATTGTGTTCAAAAGCAGGGAGTTGCCGATTTGGGAAATTGTGTTCAAAAGCAGGGAGTTGCCGATTTGGGGGTGAAAGTCATCTATTTAGAAAGTCAGGCCTGGGATTTGGCCACCAATGCCCCAGTGACCGGGGAGGGTGATCTTATCGAGCTTGCTGTTCACTTCTTCCCTTTCAGGGACTGCTGTCCACACTGTGCTGTCTCAGTGCCCCTCCCGCGGCTCCTGAGCATTTCAGCCATCCTAATAACCCTTGGGAAAGGAGGCCTGTTTCTTGATGTCACTCAGCTCCCGTGTATTTCTCTTGCCCCCTTCTGTAATGGGTTCCCTGCTGTCCTCCCGGGTAAGTGCTCAAGGACTGTGGCTATCAGTGACTGGCCTGGGGTTACCCACGAGTCTGCTGACCTGCTGGGCTCTGTCCTCTGCAAAGCTAACTTTCCAGGGCCTAATGCTCTTGAACCTGAGTCAGGCCTCTTTCTGAAGCCCCAACCTCCTACTACTACAAACGTCACCAGCACCGTGTTGGGTCCTGGGAAACCCTTAAAGAGTGCAGATCCCCTCAGGGCCCAGGATAATCAGAGCAGGAAGAGGGTAATGGCCATTGCTCAAGGAAAACATTCCTTGGTTTTGTAAAAGAGTGTTCAAATAGCATTAAGGTTTTTGTTTGCTTGCTTGCTTGCTTTTCCCTTATCTGGCATTAAGCGCTAACAAGTTAAACCTGTTACTTGAGGTCCTATGAGGACCTTTGGGGGTGTGTGTGATGTTTTTAAAAACCCAAAACCATGGGGCACATGGGTGGCTCAGTGGGTTAAAGCCTCTGCCTTTGGCTCCAGTTGTGATCCCAGAGTCCTGGGATCAAGCCCCACATCGGGCTCTCTGCTCCTTGGGGAGCCTGCTTCCCCCCTCTGCTTGTCTCTCTGCCTACTTGTGATCTCTGTCTGTCAAGTAAATAAATAAAATCTTTAAAAAAGAAAAAACCCGGGGCGCC